AAGTAAATACGATATCTCTCATCGCCGTCGTAACCCACTAGGTACCCCTTTTCAGCTTTTTCGTCCATCTTCTTCCTTTTTTGGAAAGGAATGTGTACATAGCACGTCGATCCTACGATTCGAAGATGTTGGACTCTTGGTTTCTTGCCCAGCCAAAGTTGGTAAGGGCTCACACCCTTCAACGAAGATTTGCCCGTCCTATTGAGAACGTAGACTGCTGTGCTGACCAACTCGGCCCAAATTGCTTCTGAAAATTTGATTTCTGGATTAGAATATTTAAAAGTTCTCGCCATTTCGACTATCGTTCGATTCTCTCTCTCTACACCGCCGTTTTGTTTTGGAGTATAGGGAGCAGTGAGTCGAAATGTAATACCACCTTCCTGGAGAATTTGTCTCACTCCTGCACAGTCGAATTCTCCTCCGTTGTCAGTCAGGAATTCCCGAATTGTGTGCCCTCGTTGCTTGGCATGAGAAACCATGTGTCGTAGTACGTCCTTGATCTCTTCTTCTGGAAAGAATCCTCAAACGGGCCGCAAACATCGCCTGACATCAGCTCCCCTGGCTCGCTGCTGGTTTCCTCGTTCCGAACGGTAATCGATGCGCCTTTTCAAAGATGCAAGGCTCGCAAAAGCTACTCTCAAGCTTGACTTTAATGCCCATTTCTCTTTTGAGCATGTCCTTGATGTGGTTCTTATCCTGATGACCCCACCTCTCGTGGTAGAGTTGGAGAGTAGAAGTTCCGGAAGTTGCGACGTTGACATCGACATTTCGTTCTGGAAGAATGGGCTCGATCCCTGCTCTGTAAAGTGTTCCTCCGACTTCTCTGGCTCCAACGAGGACAATCTTGTCATTTATTTTGAGAGTGCACTGTGTTGCTGACGACTCAAAACGACTAGTTGGATTATTGTCTTGGGCAGCCAAAACTGAAAATAGATTCTTCGTTATATTGGGAACAAATCACACATTTTCTAAAGAAATAAAAAGAATTTTTCCGTTGACAAACGTTTTAACTTTGATTGTTCCTTGTCCCAAAGCTGATAAGGTTTCGTTTCCAGCTGCTCTGATCCAACTCGGATTCTCAAACTTCTCAAAAAACTCGAAATACTTTGCAGTCTTCACAACATGTTTTGTTGCACCGTTGTCTATCCACCAGTCGACCTCTGAGTTTGCCTCTGCTGCAAACACGCCGTTGTGGACTGAGACGAGAGTTAACGTTGGTTCTGCGCAATTTCCTTGTTCAGCATTCTGCTTGCTCGGCTTCGGACATCCATCCTTCTTCCATTTTATACAGTTCCTGACCCAGTGCCCCTTTTTCTTGCAGTAGTGGCAGGTGTCAAATCTCCGACCAGATGCTCCTGAATCCTGACGATGGTCCCTTTTTGCTGTAGTAGGAAAAGCCTCCTGGCTCTCCTTTTCATTAGTATCTTTTGATCTAAAATTTCTCTCAAACATGACTATTTGATTAGTTAGTTCATCGAAAGTCTTTTCTTCTTCTTTTGTTAAGAGCATCCAACTTTGACGGAACGTTTCGAATGTCTTTGGCAAAATGTGCAGCGTTTTGCAAACAAGTATTAAATCTGGCAACACATTTTCGTTTTTAACCTTCAAAGCTTGATTCAACTCGTTCCAAAGACTACGCAATTTTGCTATGTGAGTTGATACCTGGATTCCAAGAGAAAGCAAAAAACTCATTGCAGATCCTGAATACCTGGTCCTTTGCAGTTGCTTCAAACTGATTTTTCAATGCTTCCCATGTATCGTGAGCTGTCTCCTTGTCCATAATCTTCTGGTACACTGAGTCCGTGACCGCAGTGGTAATCATGGATTTTGCGTAGCTGTTGGCCTTACGAAAAAAATCACTCTACTCCTTGTGCTTCTTTTCTACTGCTGTTGAGGCATTTTCTGGCAATGGTTCCGGTTTGACGATCTTTCCGTCCAACGCATCGAGAGCACCGTCGTGATAATCTATCAGGTCCCTAATTTTTCTTTTCCAAATCGGCCAATCGGTCGCACCTGAGAGCTTCGAAACGTGCTTCGCCAAATCCATCGCAATCGAGCAAAATAAACTTTTTTCTTTTTACTTTAAACTGAACAAAACGTTCCTGGGCCCATAACCTATTATATCTTGAACTTCTGGCCAGTAAATTCGCAATATTTCTTAGCAAATCAAACTCATGTTTATTCACACTCTTCTACAGCTTTCTAGGTTATAATATGTAGGGATGTATATAACTCGATACAATCGATATATTTAAGGAGCCCTTTAACTTGGCGGATATTTTTGAATTCGTAACACTTAACTTCAACAGTTTATTCGATATTAGGTACGGCTGCATTTACGCTAACGTCATTTTTGGCTGACTTTAGCATCACTAGATCGGCAAAGTGCACGTGAGGGAAATCTCAAACTTCCTTTTCAAATTTTGAAGCTCGGCGTGAACGGTTGGGTCCAGTCCAGCCAGTGATTTTAATATAAAGTGAAAAATTAAGGTTGTGTCTGATCAAGGTCCGGTTGGAGCGCGACTTCACCAGTCGACGTGCAGCAGATTGCATAACCCTGCTGCAAGTCCATTGCAAGTGTAAGTGGAAAAGGGATTTTTAACCAGATTTTCGTCAATTAATTCCCCTTCCGTACCCGAATAGCTACACTCGGAATTTTAAGATTTCCCTGCGCGGAGACGGGAATTACGTTAACGTCAGCAATTACTGCTTCCCCAAAAAGGGGGCAGTTCAGTCGACCGTCTTCAAGCAGTATCGTCAAGTAAATTTCTGCGGCGCATAGGAGGAAGGATAAGGATTATTTTCTCCAGCTAGTTCCTGCCGGGTACCATATAATGAGTCAGTGATCTTCGCCAGAAACCAGGCAATAAATGGCTGAGTGGCACTAGGTGGCCGAATACCTTAAAAGGAGGTGTTTTCTTTTTGCCTTTTTCTTGTCTTGCTGTCGGAACTTGTAGACCCCCCTCAAATGTATTAATTCAAGTTCAAGTAAAGTGGTCCGAGATGCCTGTCGCAATGCAGTGCACAAATTGTCGTTGTGCCTAAGCAGACGCCTGCGCGTAATATCAATTAAACTAAAAGAAGTGGCTAAATACGGAGGTGCAACCCAAATCAGTGAATTGTAAGAAAATGTTAGCCGAAAAGCAGATTATAATTTTGTTAAAATTTGAGCCTCACGAAACCATCGAAATCATGTGAATTTACAAAACGTATATGTAAAATAAATTCGCCTATGTTCAAAATAATTAAGTTAGGTTAAAAACATAGTATTTTAAATGTAAAAAAATGTGAATATTAGGAAAACTGAATTTCAACTATCGTTAGCAGTAAAGATTATTTTTGAATTTAGTGGAAGAATTAAAAAAAAAAAGGAATATAAAATGAAACTGTGTCAGAGGTTATGCCAAGTTCGGTCGCATTAACGACAGCTATCAGCCAATTAGGTGTTATTGCCAAACTGCTTTGCTAATAATTTTTCAGCTCAAGTCCCAACTTTTGGAAGCGCTTTCATCAGTGGAGGAAACTCAGGTAAGCCAAGCATGACTCTTAATAATACCCAATCTGGCACACATTATTTAATTACTGTATGATGCGAACCTAACCCTGCTGTTTAAAAACGAATTTAATTTGATTTTATAATACAATGCGATTTATGACACTTATTCATTGAAAGTAAAACTTTGTAAAATTAAAATTAAAGCGCTAACGAATAGCTGTTATTATGAATTAAACCTGAAATTTGAAATAAAACTAGAAGTAAAGAATAGAACCAAATATTCACGAACATGTTAAAATTATAGAGAAATTAAATTGAAATTAGTTCTTAATAATTTGCAAATTTATCTTGTAGTTTTTTTGATACATTATATTATACTTTATGAAGTCATACAAGTTTACAAAGCCAACAAGAATTTTCTTTATGAATTATATTATGTTATCTTTAGCTTTTATGTTTAGGAAATAAAAACGAATTATAATGTCTGAGTAGATAACCAATCTTTTTAACTCCATGCTGACCCGAGAGCCACCTTAGTTGCCTTTTTCTAATGGGGCCTGTTGCAGATCATATTTGGAATATTGACATGGCCAAGGAAGGGAGGGCTAATTTCGCGCCCGCATACATCTTGTGGCGTACGTTGAGGGAAATTCAATTCATTTCTGTCTGTCCGTTTGTCATGCTATCTCTATATCCGGCCGATTTTGGCTCGTTGTTTTATTTTTGCACGCAAGAAAATTTAATTGTTAAGGATTTAAATGAGCACCCATAAGCTGCAGCTTCTCCAGAACACCACGACATTTGCCGACGAGTTAAAGCCGGAATAAAACGCGTGCAGGGCTTACAGTTCGGGATACCATCAGCTCACCGTTGTTCGTTACAAATGTTGCTAATGCAATGACGTTACTTTCAATGGAGCGAAGACCGCTCAGAAAAAATGGCTGAGTTAATACAAACTTCAGTAAGTGACAGAATTCAGAGATTAATCTCCACTCCATCTAGCTCCAATGCGAATGACAGAGGTAGGTCAGCTACTCCACCACCCTAGTCCGCCGAAATGTGGGGCTCTAGGGGGGATAAGAGAAAATTAATAAAATCAGAAGAACAAAAGTATTCAATTGCATCTTGCGTGTTGCGGTCAAAGATGAATTTCTTGAGTTCTTGAAGAGGGTTAGAAGCGCCTGCAAAATTTGTGGCATTGTCACAATAAATGTCCGTGGGCAATGCGCGTCGAGCAATCATTCGTTTGAGTGCAGCGAGAAACGCCTTAGTCGATAGTTCTGAAACGACTTCTATGTGTACAGCCTTTGATGCCATACAGACGAAGATTGCCAAGTAAGACTTCACAGGACCCTTTCCGCGGATGCGAAGATAAGTGTTGATTGGACCGCAAAAGTCGACACCGCACTTCGAAACGGGTTGTTGTGGCGAAAGGCGCTCCACAGGCAGTGATCCCATCAGTTGCTCTTGTAGTTTCGGTTTGTAGCTGAGTCTCTGACATTGACTATCCAGAATTCCAAACGACGGAGCGCCACCAAAGCTTTCGGTCCAGCGTGAAAGTTTCGTAGATGAAGATGTCGAATATATATCCAGGAGATATGCGATTTCTTAGGCAAAAGAATCGGGTGCTTCTCACTTTCTGAGATGTTGGCGTTTTCGAGCCTGCCGCCGACTCTGATGAGCTGGAAACCTGAGGAAGATTCAATGAAAGGGTTGAGAAATTTCAGCTGTCCTTTCAGCGGTCGAGATTTTTGTAGCAGCGGAAATTCTATTGAAAACGATTGCTGTTGGAGATTCCATATGATGCAGTTGGATGCATGTTGTAGTTCCTCCGATGTCAATCCAGCCGCTTTGGTGTTATTCGTTTTGCTTGTGAGGCGATAGAAGCGGAACATCCATGCGATTACGCGTAGACACCGAGTAAACGAGCTGATTGATTCCATCCTTTCAAGTAAATGGTTTGACCTCACAATGAATGTGCTTTTTCGCTTCTCTGAATTAACTACTTCCTGGTCAAGATTCCTCAGCTTGGGAGGCTGAGGCCAGTCTGACATATGTTGCGATAGAAAGGGCGGTCCAGAAAACCATATTGAAGCTTGGAGTTCGTGTGTTGTAGCTCCTCTGGACACAATATCAGCTGGGTTGAGCGATGTGGGTACATATCTCCATTCTCCAGTCGATGTTGAATCTTGTATTTCGGATACTCGATTTCCTACGAATGTCGATAGTGTAACAGAATGCTCGTGTAGCCAATGCAGTACGATCTGGGAATCCGACCAAAAGTATGAGGTATACGGCTTGTCCTGTAGCATCGGGAGGACCTTAGTATACAACTGCGCCAGCAAGTGCGCTCCGCACAATTCCAATTTTAGAAGAGACTTCCTTTTTACCGGGGCCACTCTGGACTTAGAAGTAAACAGTTGAACAGCGATGGTTCCGTCGATGCATTCGGTACGTAGATAAATGGCGCAACCATATGCTCGGATTGACGCGTCACAGAATCTGTGAATTTGAACTGATAGGTATTGAGCTTGTAGACAATAGCGTGGCACCGAAAGGTTTGAACAGGTTCTAAAGGAATCCAAGCACTTGCTCCAAGCGATTTGCAAGTGTTGCGGTACCGATTCATCCCAACTCAATCCTGCTAGCCAGAGTTCCTGTAGAATGATCATGGCGACGATAATTAGCGGTGACAGCAATCCAAGTGGGTCGTATAGTGCAGACGCAACAGATAGAATAGTACGTTTTGTGATTGCTGCAGGCACGGTTTTGGGCGTAAATGCAAATCGTAGGGCATCGGAATTCTGATGCCAATGTACTCCAAGTGCACTAGTCATAGCGTTTATGCATGGATTGAGATCCTTGTTGTTGCGACTCTCGACGAAGTCCATGTGATTTGAGTGCCATTTGGTAAGCGGAAACTGACCGCGTTCTAGTAATTTGGTAACTTGATCCTTTATGACTGACAGAGTCGATATTTCGTCTGCACCAGTTATTAAATCGTCAACATAGAATGAAGTCCTTATAACGGCAGCACCAATGGGAAATTCAGCACCATGAAGATCCGCTAAATGGTGTAGGCTACGTACAGCGAGATATGGTGCGGAAGCCGTTCCGTAAGTGATCGTATAAAGCTGATATGTGCGTAGTTGATCGCCTGGGAAATCTCGCCAGAGAATGTACTGAAATTTGCGGTCACTAATATCAACATTTACTTGCCTGTACATCTTCGCTATGTCGGCTGTCAGGGCATATCTTGAAAGTCTAAAACGTAGCAGTAGCATGAAGAGATCATCTTGAATCGTGGGACCGCAAAGTAAGATGTCATTGAAAGACACTTGACTTGATGTTTTGCAGGACGCATCGAATACAACTCGAAGCTTTGTAGATTCACTGGCTGGCTTTATCACACAGTGGTGAGGAATGTAGTAGTGAGGGGCCGATAAATTGGGATTTGCCACTAGCTCCATGTGACCCATTTGTTCATATTCGTTCATGAACGTCCTATATTGGGCGTAGACTTCCGGTGAACGTACAAGTCGCCGTTCGACGTTGAGAAATCTTCGACGAGCAATGTCAACCGAATTGCCAAGCTGAGTAGGGGCATCCTTGAATAGTAACATAACATAACGACGATCCTTCCGTTTGCTTCTAAGCGACCCATGCGAGCGCATGGGTTGCAGCTCCGATAGGATACGGCTGCACATTCACGTAGTTTGGTGCTGCGCTCAATTGTGGTTGAGAATAAGCTGCTGTTCCGCTGGGCTGGGACGAGCTTGTCGAAGGTAATGATAACGACTTCGGAGAGTTGTGGTGATGCAAGAGCGTATGATGCGGCAATTTGACACCTTATGTCCCTTGCCAAGACAATTGACGCAAAGGCCATGTTTTTTCACCACTTCTAGGCGTTTCAGTGAATCCAAATTCCGAAACTGGTCGCATGCCATGAGTCTGTGTCCAGCGCTGGGGCAAAAGACGCATGTGGTCTTGGTGAGTGCAAATGATACGTTGTGAGCGTTGTTGATTGCACCCGATATTGGTTTAGTCTGGACAGGCCTTCGAAGTTGAGTTGAGGAAGATCCACTGTATACTAGAAATTGGCAGTGGCGTTCGAGCACATTAGCGCACTGGGTCCAGGATGGCAACGAAGAGTAGTCCAGGGATTCATTCCATTTATTCCGAGTTTGTTGATCGCACTTGTCCATAACCAGGTAGATCAGCATTGCCTCCGAAATTTGTGCATCTGAGCCCAGCGACGACTGAGAGCTGAATAGGGCGGATGAAATATCGATCAAGCTTCGCAATTGTTGTGCATTCGAAGAGTTAACAGGCTGCAATTTAAAGATTGTGGTCATTGTTTCCATAAATATTAGCCCTGGCTTGTCGTATCGAGCCTTCAACCTATCCAAAGCCTTGGGAAAGTTTTCGCTGGTCACTGGAAACGCCTTTACTGCTTCCAGTCCTGGGCCCTTCAAATAGTTGAGAAGATGGTTGAATTTCTCAATTGATGACAAATTCTCACGTCCAGTAAGCTGCATAAATGAAGTCATGAAGTTTTTATACTCCGTGTGAGTACCATCAAAAGTTGGCAGCGGCAGCCTTGGGAGCTTTGACTGCGGCAATGCCGGTGGATTGGATTCGAGCATTGTGCTGCTTAGATTTTCACCGAGTAGTTGTTTGATAACCAATTTGGTCGCTATGTATGACTCCTCAATGTCAACACGCCCATTGTCCGCTGAATCCAGAGTTTCAATTTTAGTTTGAATCACTAGCGCCTGTTTAAAGTAGGATTCCAAAATTCCCTTATTCCCTCTGCACCCAGCGCATCCCGCTGTTGATATGCAGCTCCCCTGCATTTGATATTGTAAGGAGTTTTACAACTCCTTACATCTCCCCTTCCTTCGGAAACTTTAAAAATGTCCTGGGGAAAACGTCCTCGAATTGCTTCCTTCCCACGTCGACCTCCAACTCCTGAATGCGGCCAAGGGCCTCTTGGATCTCAGCCGGACAGTCTCAGCCTATTAGACCCTACCTGGTCGTTCAGCATCTCGACTGTGGCAGCTTGACCCCCATGGCTCCTTGCGCACAAATCCTTCCTCGATCCTTGTGGCCGCTGTCACTCCTTCGTCGACCTCCTCTCGCCACGGCTGAGAGCTCCTCCAATCTCAGCACCTAAGTCTCAGCTTATGTAGACTTCCCGTCGTTGGGCTTCTTGACTAGGGCATCTTGACTGTCGAAAACTCCCAGCGCGCGACTTCTTCCGATCCTCGTTTTCAAATTCGAAAAAGTCTCCCGCGTAGTATTTTCCGCGCACGATCGATAATTTCTCTCGATCGATCGTGGCGTTGCCACTCCTCAGGGCTGCAGTCATAATTAGCGTGACCGGCCAGCGATATTTCCAGTATTTTCTTTGCTCCCATCGATCGCACTATCGATCGACCGCCGTTATCGAGGCGACCCCATTCCCAATTTTCCGCTGGCCTCGTGGTTTTGTTTTGGTAAGTATTTTGAAGCGGAAACCTTCCACAGATGTATGCGCCGGGGCGCTGACCCTGGCTAGCGCGTCCCGGCAGGCCAACATGCCCGGTCGTCGACCCACCCCTTTCCCTTCTGCTCTGCCGCGGCTCCCCGCTCTGGCCGGCCGTCTGGATTTTGCCATGGATTTCCAGGTAAGTTTGAGTCTTAATTTTTGCTAAACTCGCTTTACCAAATTCTCGTCTGTCCTCCAGAGACTCCGGCTGGCTCTCGACGCCACCGAAATAAACCGTGTGTGTTCGTGCTGTCGGAGACATTCAGTGTCTCCTGCCGGCATCCCGGCCCCCCTCCTCCAACCCCCCGTAGCATCATAACTCGTGGTTTTGTGTCGTTTTTTTGCTTTTTATTGTCGGGCCCTATATACTCGCACGGCCCCGCCCGCTACCTTAACCCGGTAGCGGACTCCCTCCACCACCATCAGTCTGGCCCATTGCTGGGTCCTTCCTCGTCGGCGCTGCCGCTCCGCCTCCGCGCGCACCATGTCCGGCCATGCGTCCTCGGCCAACTCCACCCAGGTCGCCTCCTGGGAGAATCCACGCATCAGCGTGGGCCGTTTGGGCCGGTGCCGCCACCGGGCACGACGTCTGCCTCTGCAGCCGCGGACGCGGCGGCGGTGGTGGTGGTGGGGGCGTCCTCGGCGGCGACGCGAGCGGCAACGGTGGCGTCGGCCTCCTCGGCAGCGTGGGCATCCTTGGCGGCGTCCTCGGCGGCGGTGGTGGTGGCGGCGTCCTCGGCGGCGACGTGGGTGGCAACGGTGGCTGCGAAGGCGCTGCCAGCGGAGGTGCCGGCGTCCACAGCGCGGCCTCCTCATCCTCCGCTTGCTGCAGTTTCCTCCTCCACTCCATCACGGCAGCCACCCACTCCATCAGCCGCTCCACCATCCTGCCGATCGTGGCCCGTCGGCGGGCCTCGATTTCTTCCTCCTTCTCCGGCCTCTCCGACGAAGCCGCCGACCCGAACGGGATATATCCTTCCGCGTTCACCACGCGCCTCACCTGACGGTAACCCCTCCGGGCCTGATTTGCCCACCGGGTGCCCTCCTCATCTGAGGAGACCACGGGGGTCGCTCTCCTCCTCCGTCGACGACAACTTCACCGTCACCATCTCGCCGGTGGGGCCGTCGGCGACCTCCTCGTCGGAGGACACCTCCTTCTCCGACACGTCCCGCCAGACCGGCGACGGGGACCGCAACACTAGCGGGGACGCCAGTAGGTGGAGTGCCGACGACGAGGGCCGACGCCTCCACTTCGCCCCTGGCTGTTGCCGCCGGCGGCGGCCTTCCGCGCTGCTGCTGTTGCTGCTGCCGTTGTTGCTGCTGCTGCCGTTGTTGCTGTTGCGGCTGCTGCAGTAGCTGGTGATGTTGGCGCTGCAGCTGTTGCTGCTGCGGGTTTTGCTGCTGCAGTTGCTGCCGATGTTGACGTCGTCCGATCATCTTGAAGAAATTTTTGGAAAGACCGAACTTCTATCCGTCGCCTCCGACGACACCTCTGTTTTCGTCCTCGTACCAGAACGGTACCGTTAGTTCAAGGTCTCTCCTCTTTGCGCGGGTCCGAAGTCCGCAGACTCACCGTTATTGGGTCCAAAGTCTGCAGACTCACCGTTATTGGGTCCAAAGTCTGCAGACTCACCGCAGCATCGAGTTCAAAGTCCAGAGAGCCGTTATTTCCCTCTTTCCCTCTGCACCCAGCGCATCCCGCTGATGCTATGTAGCTCCCCTGCACTCGAAATTGTAAGAAGTTTTACAACTCCTTACATCTCCCCCTTCCTTCGGAAACTTTAAAAATGTCCTGGGGAAAACGTCCTCGAATTGCTTCCTTCCCACGTCGACCTCCAACTCCTGAATGCTGCCAAGGGCCTCTTGGATCTCAGCCGGACAGTCTCAGCCTATTAGACCCTACCTGGTCGTTCAGCATCTCGACTGTGGCAGCTTGACCCCCATGGCTCCTTGCGCACAAATCCTTCCTCGATCCTTGTGGCCGCTGTCACTCCTTCGTCGACCTCCTCTCGCCACGGCTGAGAGCTCCTCCAATCTCAGCACCTAAGTCTCAGCTTATGTAGACTTCCCGTCGTTGGGCTTCTTGACTAGGGCATCTTGACTGTCGAAAACTCCCAGCGCGCGACTTCTTCCGATCCTCGTTTTCAAATTCGAAAAAGTCTCCCGCGTAGTATTTTCCGCGCACGATCGATAATTTCTCTCGATCGATCGTGGCGTTGCCACTCCTCAGGGCTGCAGTCATAATTAGCGTGACCGGCCAGCGATATTTCCAGTATTTTCTTTGCTCCCATCGATCGCACTATCGATCGACCGCCGTTATCGAGGCGACCCCATTCCCAATTTTCCGCTGGCCTCGTGGTTTTGTTTTGGTAAGTATTTTGAAGCGGAAACCTTCCACAGATGTATGCGCCGGGGCGCTGACCCTGGCTAGCGCGTCCCGGCAGGCCAACATTCCCAGCCGTCGACCCACCCCTTTCCCTTCTCCTCCGCCGCGGCTCCCCGCTCTGGCTGGCCGTCTGGATTTTGCCATGGATTTCCAGGTAAGTTTGAGTCTTAATTTTTGCTAAAAGAGCAAGGTTTTGACTTTAAACATGTAACCAATATTATTAACAGGGCAAAAATCCCTCAGCCGCTATTTAAGATTGAACTGGCGCCAGAGACTGCACCTCTTAAGAAAAATGCAGTCCACCCTACTGCCAACTATAGGGGCTGCCCTATCTATAAACTATCTATGAACTCAAGACTCAGACTCAGAGGCGCAGCATACCGACTACCGCTCAACATGTTGCTCAACCAAACTACTTCACGCCATCAGTAACAACACCCGGAGTCTCCTTTGCCAGAGCTCTTCGATACTCTGGAGCATCGCCAGTGCCAGTAAGTCTTTCTCAGCCTGAAGTTGTGCATTCTCTCCAGCCCATACCAAATCGAAAAGATGACTCGCTGCCAGAGCAAAATACCCAGCGAACAACTCAACCCACTACTACGCAAAACCAGCTTCCCCCCCCCCACCAGCACATAGCGGACTTGAACACACACTAGCTACGCTTACAAAAATTATGCTATCGATACAAAGTACCCTGCAAGACCTAACGCGAAAGCTTTTGATTAAACAATCTAAATGAATCCCCCAAAAATATGCTTCTGGAACGCCAACGGCGTTTCCCAACACAAGTA